GATTTGTGGAGGTCTTGTCGGGACCCTTGGCTGATCTTCATAAGGATTTGTGGAGGTCCTGTCAGGACCCTTGGCTGATCTTCATAAGGATTTGTGGAGGTCCTGTCAGGACCCTCGTCTGCTCATCAGAGGTCCTGTCGGGACCCTCGCCTGCTCATCAGAGGTCCTGTCAGGACCCTCGGCTGCTCCTGCAGAGAGGACCTTTAAGATGAGATTACTGAAGGATGAAGCAGCTGTCCACTGACACTGCAGCAGATTTACTGCAGACTTTATGTCCTGTACAGTAATCCGTTGGGGGTGGTGGGGCGGGCTGCTGCAGCAGAATTAGGGTTGTGTTTCTCTCTCTTTGTTTACAGCACAAAGCCTCGCCACATCCAGCTGTGTTCAGAGGACCGGGGATGTTTTACCCGTTAGGAGCTTTATGGAAGGCGGTGACAGATGTTTGAGGCTCCACATCTGGAACAGAACTGAGCTCCAAATTAAACTCTTCGTGCAATCTGGTTATGAAACTTGCTTTATTGTTTTTTGTTTGTTTGTTTAATCTTTCCTTCTTAATAAAAAAAACTCACTCTGACAGTTCATGGGAGATGTTTGCTTTTGTTTCTCATTTAGTCGTTTTGTCTTAAACTGAAAGTTTCAGAAATTCATTTGATTCATGATTGGTTTCAGCCTAATCTTTAAAACTGTAATTATAAAAATAAATCATGTAGGTGTTTTGTCACAACAAAAACAGAAAAACCAACGAAACTATTAATTTTTTTATGGGAAGTTTAATAAACTGACTCACATTAAATCAAAATTTCTGCCAATGGAGTATGAAAATTTTACTTGGTAAGATTCTTGAAATACTTGATTTGACTAAATTTTTTCTTATTTCAAGAATCTTACCAAGTAAAATGTTCCTACTCCACTGACAGAAATGTTTGACTTAATTTGAGTCAAATTTTCAGACTAACAAGACAAATAATCTTACACATTCTGAAAACAAGATKATTATTCTTACACAATCAGTTCTTGTTTAGTAAATCAGTCTGAAAACAAGATCAAAAAGACTTTTTGGCTGATATAAGGTTTAAAACTTGGTAAGATGGACAGTTTTTGCAGTGTACAGGTTTGGAGCTCTGTATTTGTTCATATTTGGAGCAGAGGACCTAAAATTCAGACACTGGGCGTCACCCAGGACTCAAGACGTATTTTAATGCTGTTGAAGTGAACTACTGTAAAAGTACTAAAAATGTGAGTATTTTTGTTGAGTACATCAGTATTTTTTGGTGTACTTGTGTTTTGRCTTTTTAAAATCATGATAGAGCTAAAACATGCATTAATGAAAATGTACCTTTAATTTTTTTTAATGCGTTAAGAATTTGTTTTCTAGAGCGTATTTAAAAGGTTGGTTATTTTTCATCCTCTTTAAAAATTAAAAAGTACATTTTACTTGTTTAAACTAATGTATGTTGTTCAAATGAWGTCAAAATGTAGGAAAATACCGATTTAAAAAAATCCACTCAGCAAATTACAAATGAAAAAAGGGTCCATTTAAAAAGTTTAATGAAAAGAATTATTTCTGAAAACAAACTGGTGAGAAAASTTTGCTTTGCTTTTAGAAAAATAAACACAATTAAAGATTTGGACATTTTTAATGTTTTTTCATGTTGACGCTGTCACAGACCACCCGGCAGTATAAAAATTACAGACAAAAACAAACTGTTGAGAAGGAACCTTTCATTGAATCCAGTTAAATAATCCTTATTTCTTTCCTTTCTTCTGCTTGGGTTTCTTCTTCTTGCCTGGTTTACTGTCGTCCTGCGTTTTGCTCTTTTTGGCCGGGCCGGGCTGTGAAGCGGCGCTGTCGGCAGATCGTTTCTGTTTTTTGTCCTGTTTCTTTTTGGCCTGGCTCTTCTCCTCTCCAGGCTGGCTTTTGGAGGCTGGCTCCAGAACGGGTTTATTCACTCTTTTACGCTTCTTTGTTTCTGGGAGAAAACCTTTCTTCTTMTTGGGCGCCGCGTCCGGCTCGGCCTCCTTGTCTGGCTTCGTCTTATCAGCTTTTGGCTTCCTGATGAAAAAAAAAACAAAAAACAAAAAGATTATCAGGAAAGCTTCAGGAATTAAAGATGGAACTAAAATAACAGCTGTTAGAGAAACGTGTCACGTGTAGATGCAAAGAAAGRTGTTTTTGTCAGTAAATCAGATGGTGACTGTCAATCATTTACATTTAGATGGTGTGAAAATCAGATAAAATGTCTGCAGAGTTGTAAAGTAACTAAGTACAAATACTTTGTTACTGTACTTAAGTAGAAATTTTGGTTATCTTTACTTGTGTAATTATTTTTCAGCGTACTTTTTACTTTTACTCATTACATTTTTACACAATTATCTGTACTTTCTACTCACTACATTTTTTTAAAAAGTTAAGAAGTAGAAAGTTGTTACTCCTATTTTATTCTGAGTTATTACTTAAAAGTACTATCCTGTTAAATAGTGTCTCCTGGATAGAGTGAATTTAATTGTGKTTGGATGAGAAGTATAAATATATACCATTCTGACACACTATTAGCTTGTACACAACCCATCACAGCTGCACGCTGTTAGAAAATATATTTTTTGGAGAAGTCACCTCCCAATAAATGTCATTTTGTAAAATCTAACTGCTCACTTTTACTCAGTACTTTTACTTTTGTATTAAAAGTAAAAGTACTGAGTAAATAGATTTTTCAAAAATGACATTTATTGGGAGGTGACTTCTCCAAAAAACATATTTTCTAACAGCGTGCAGCTGTGATGGGTTGTGTACAAGCTAATAGTGTGTCAGAATGGTATATATTTAAAC